TTTCTAAAACCAAAATTGCATCTCTTGAGTCAAAATAATTCAAACCAAAATCAACATGGCGGGAAGAAGAAGTTCCACTGAGCCTTCCAACGATGATTGGATAATGCCTTGCAGCCTAAATACACATGAAGTGTTCTATTTTAAAAAGTGAACTAATATAATAAACATATGATCACAAGAGATAACAAGCATGAAAAAAATATTTATTAATCACTTTTAATCTTAACTCACCAAATACTTCTCTAAAGTCCTATATATTCACCGAATATCAAAAGAGTGTGGTTGGTTGGGCCTTTCGAAGCGTCTTGATACTAAGGAAGAGGGAAAATCTCAAAAGTTTTTCGTAATCAAATTCATGAACAAGTGCACATCATCATATATAAGACATCAAACAAGAATAGAGTATTAATTAATCACTAATCCTCTTAACTCGTCAAGCACTTCTATACGCTCTTAAACGCTCGCTAAACACCATCAGAGCTTAGTTAGTTGGGCTTTTTGAATTATCTTAACACTAAAGAGAAAGAAAAATCTTAAGAGTTTTTTTTATCAACTCTCGAGTGAAGAAAATGATAGATTAGCATTGCAGTTGCTCGTTGTGAAACTCATTGAGGATTGAGCAACTTTGGGTAGTTTTTATACTCCGTGATTCCGTGAAAACGGAAAACCTTTGGATTCGGGGCGGCTTTTGTGATCAAGGCTAAATAAGCCACCGCATGTATTGATGATAATTATTTAGTTTAAATCCTCTTGAAGCAGCACACCATAGTAGAAGGTCTACACCACTTTAAATCAAAATGCTTCATAGTATTATTACTTTCAGAAGTCAATCCGGTGACTTGACTTTCTAGAGCGGTTGTACTTGTTTCCGCAGCAAGAACTTTTCTAGAGGAGAACTTGGAGTTGTATTGTCTCGAGTTTTCGGCCAATTCCGAGATTAGACTCCTTACTTGGGATTTAGTTTTTTTCACAATCCCCCCACCCCCACATGCTGCATTCACAATCCTTCTATATTCATTAGAATGAATATCAAATATCATAAAAGTATAAGATGATGTCATCCTCCAAATATCCATGATAAGGGCAACTAGCACAAAGTTTCTTGAATCGTTCTCAATATTCATAGAAAAAAATGTCGTTTTTTTGTTCCAGATTTGTTTATTTGGTTCTTTAGGCTTGAGGAGACGGAGGCGGGATAGTACCTTCATAGGAAAACGCTTTCTCATGGCCACCATGTATTTATGTTTTCTGATGGAAGATAGAGTAGCCAATCTTTTGTCGTGTTTTCAAGGGAGAACGGAAAGACCTCAACTTGGTTTGTTCTTCAGTGACATCATTTGGTTTCATACTCATGCAAACTACATGAAACTCCGAAAGGTGTTTGTTTGGAGTCTTTGGACCCTCGCCTCTCAACCAAGGGAATGAAGGAAGTAGATCGATTAATTAACCCCGACTTCAACTCGAATATAGCACCTTCATCAAGAGTCGGGAAGGTGATACATATGGGTTGTTGGTTGAGATTCGGGGTAGTGAGCTCCCTCAAGGTTATAGTCTCTGGCGTCATATGAATGTGTTCTTCAAATTTGTTGAAGCTTGATGATCCCTCCGACTGGATACTTCAATTTTTTTTCAAAATCTCAAAGTTTTGTTCTATTTATGGGGGGTGTTTGTCGTGTGATTTCGTTAGTAGAACGAGTTTTTACCATATAACCTCACAAAGCTCAGAAAAGAAAAGAAAAACTATTTTCAGTTTTCTTTTTTCACAAAGAAACCGTATTGCAATTCTTCGGCAATGACACCAAATTTGACGGCACTACAGTCATTTGTACCTCAAACTAAATTCAACACTTTCACTAATACCGTAGTATAGCGTAAGGGATTTCGTACCTACAAAGAAATGTTTTTCTTTTTCTTTTGTGAAATAGTAACAAAAGGAGGGTTTTAAGATTATGTGATCTTTTTTTTTTGATGAAATGTAAGTATATATAAGGAGCCATCCAAAAGAGTTTAACTGTACAGCAAAAGGGGTGATCAAATGGGCATGAGGTGGGCCTTCCACCCACACTCATTAGTCTATTGAGACAAAAAGGACCATGTACAACCTTCCCCCCTCATTTTTCGGCCAGCACTCATCCATCAAGATCAAGGAAGCTCTCAACCCTCCTTCTCCATTGTTGAAGGAAGCTCAACAAGGAAGAATCTCAAGAAAAGGAATTAAGGTGCTAAAAGTGTGAAAATTAAGGTAATAACCTTATCATAACTTTTCCCTTATTTTTCCTTCCATCATATGAGATATATATCATATGGAGAACCCTTGGGATTGTTCTACATGATAAGAGTGTGGAACAATGGGTTGGAAAGTGGTTCTAAGTCCAAGAACGGACTTAGAAGCCTAAACGACCGGTTCACCGGAAAATAACCTTTTAGAGGTTATTTGTATTAATTAAGATTTTATGATGTTAAAACCTTGTTAGGAACTTGATTAAAGTATTTCAAGAGCTTTCACGAAGTGTGAAAAAGTCGCCGGAGTTGTCGCCGGAACTCGTCAAAAGTCGTCGCAGTTTCGCCGGAGTTCAACCAACAGAGTAGAACTTCATAGAGCTAATTCGAGGTGAGGATGACCGACTATATTGCTTATAATCATTGGGTTAATTTCATGAGATTTTCCTAAATGAATACAAAATGTGATTTGCATGGATTATTAATGGTTAATAATGCCTAAATGAAATTAGTATTGATTATAAGTATAGTATGCATAATATATCAATTTATGAATAAATTGTGTATGTTTATATGTTATGAATATGATGGTATGATGGTTGTATTAACCATGAATTTCATTTGTGATAAATATACTTTTATTTGATGAGAAGAAGCCATGAAGGTATAAAAGTGATATTTTGATATTAAGGCCAAATTACACATGAATGAAGAATTATATTGAAATGAGTAAATAACTAGTATTGAAATATTAGTTGGAAATGTTAGTTGAATAATGGATGAACTAGATCCTAAGAAATCGAATTGTAAAGAATTGGTGATTATGAGCTGAGCTCTAGACTGATGTAGGTAATCGGTGATTATGAGCTGGGCTCTAGACCGATGTAGATAACAGTGATTATGAGCTGGGCTCTAGACCGTAGTAGATAACGGTGATTATGAGCTGGGCTCTAGACCGTAGTAGATAACGGTGATTATGAGCTGGGCTCTAGACCGTAGTAGATAACGGTGATTATGAGTTGGGCTCTAGACCGTAGTACATAACGGTGATTATGAGTTGGGCTCTAGACTGTAGTAGATAACGGTGAATTGACATCAAATGAACGAGGTCAACTATAATATAATAACACCCTAGTTTGAGGGTCTTAGAAGTTGAAACATTGATTATACTTAGTATAGTTGTCATTGTACTTTGCAAATGCTTCAAAGTACTGACCTCCCCTTCACGGGGGAGGCCACCTCACAGTTTCAGGTAGAACTTGAAGGTTGCTACCCTTGCCATTGATTCGTAGAGACCAAGGGAGAGAAGACGTGGTTCGTGTTTCCTCCGTTCCTGTTTTAAAAACAATTACATTTAATGCTCATGGATATCATTTCTCTGAATAACTATTTGAGAGCTTGCACGCCCATGTTTGCCAAGTGTGGCTTGAACACTTGTAATATTGTTTCTGCTGCTTTAATGAATGGTTTTACATTATGTTGGTTTATGGATGTACTGCGTGTGAATGATATTCCAGACGCCTTGTATAGCATGAATGTGTTGAATTACGGTTGACTATTCGTACTGTACGGCGGTTTGTTGACGTGTCCGGTGGGTCCGGGGCGTGACGTCTGTGTATTTTATTACTAAGAAATTCAAGTTTGGTTTGGTCTGATCTGTTTAAGTCTCGTCTGGTCTATTTAAGTCTGGTTTGGTCTGGGGCTGAAAACAGTCCAAGTAAAAACATCCTAAGATAAACGGATTAAGTTGATAGATCATTTGAGATAGAGACTTGATTTTGCTCATTTCCACTTAGAGAAATGTTCATTGATCATGGTTATAACTGTAACTATCCCCTCTTGATACATAGTCGTGGAATATTTCCAATTCATGGAGATAGTTATTAATTACGAGATGCATTCCTTAATAACCCTTACTACCTAATTCATATGAAACAAACGTCATATATTGATCCGACAGTATTAATTTAACTTTGGATGAAATCAATTGAGATTGACAACCTCAACACAAGTGGTTTATCGGTTTAATCAATATAATTAATTCGCATTTAAATTATTAATCATGAGACGCATGCACTAGTTATCTAAAGTTAATACCGTTGAAAGGACCAGGTGAATAACATGCGTGTTCGTCGATCAAGTCTAGTAATATTTAATTTGTCAACATTAATTTATTGATCATTTAGTAATGCTCAAATATCACTATAAAATATAATTAGGGTTATAATTAATAGTCAAAGGGGGTGATTAAACAAAATAACTCACAATTTACAAAACACGAACTTCAATATAGCAAAACAAACATGGAAGAGTTAAGCTCCTCATTGGAGTCTAAACAAGCAAAGAAATATATGAAAAACACCTATCTAATAAGATCTTAAGTATATGATGTAATTGATATCTAATGGGGAGGAAAAGAGTGTTATTTATAGGTGCATTTGAAGGAGTGAGTCGGACACTCAACCGGGTGTACTGTTAAATCTCACTGTTTGTATGTTCTTTTGTTCTTCAGGACCTCTCGATGTTCGTTTATCTAAAGTTAATACTGTTGAAAGGACCAGGTGAATAACATGCGTGTTCGTCGAAGCTTCATAGTAATTTATTGAATTAGGAATTAAATTTTTCAATTTTATTTTGTTTGTATGCTAGTTGAACTTTATTATAGCTGTTTTTGGGTTGGTAGAAAATGAGGTTTGAGTTAGCAAAGTGGAAAGAAATCCCGGTGAAATGACAATCACGACCAGGGCAATAATTTACAGAACATGTAAAGTCAAACCACATTCAAACTTCAACAGGGTTGTTTGAATCTTCATACCAAAAGAGCGTCCATGACTTAGTCCAAGTTGGATGACTTCACAAAATGCTTTTTAAAATTGTACAACAACTTTTACACGAGCATCAAATTTTGTTTTCCCAAACAGTCAATCAGGAATAAACATAGACTCATTTGTCTGTGGGATAAAAGCCTGTGCATATGTGAAGATTTCCACAACATGATGCTCAATTCCTAAGCAAACTAGCTATTTGATTCTTCCATCAATAGTCCATATGCAAGCTTGATTATATACCATACTTCAATTTCCATGGAAAGGAGATCTTAAGGGCCAGCAAGTTTGGTGTACTTACGGTGACTCCTTTCTCTGGAGTGGAGCACCCAAAATATAATAGAAAGACACACAAAGGCCGAAATGAGCACCAACCCAATGTAGACCCACTTGCTGAATAGTTCGAGATCGGGGCAATGATGGTCATGGATTGTGTTAAAGGTACTTCGAAGAAATGTGCAGTCGAGCAAGTCGGTGAGGAATGGGCCGTACTGGTAGAGACCACCACTCACTTTAACTGCACCATTCATCTGGTTGTACAAATCCGGCGTTAGACGCCCCACCGTTGTGCACACATTGTCCGCTCCAACATTACACACATACTTCTTCCAAACCTATATTATTAATAATTAATACATAGTAATTTATAATAAAATAATGTACTTTTGTTCATTCATGTCGAGTCACAGTGGTATGGCACATTCCACTGTTAGACTAAATTAGAACTAAAATATCATTGTGGTCAGGCAAAAATAGATGCATAAGCTGTAATCACTATAATGTGTAAAATTGGAGTTAGTGTCCCATGTGCGACTTGTGTTAAAAACCCACTTTAATTTTGTCCATAAATTTTTATCATGCACGCATCATTGACCACTTGAACAGACAAAAAATGATTCTTAATTACATCCAAATATAGCTAAAAGCTAAATTATGTCCAAATTTCATAGTTGATGACTAAAGATTCCAAAAGAAGTCTCAAACCAAACAAGTAATGGTGTATTATCAAGGTGGTGATTCAAATTAGGTATTAAATTTGTTATTTTTCTTAAGTCCACTAGATCTATAAGTTATGTACCTCAGGTGCATTTCCAAACTCGACTTCGTCTTCGGCACATTTTTTATCTTTGTTGTCCGAATTGAATGGACTACAAAGATTAGGCACCAATGGACCAGATTGATTGTACGAAGTAGGCGCATCAGTAGGCATGTTTGCATTCGCTACATTGTTTATGATGCGATTAACAACAACAACCATCTCAAATGTCACCTCTTTGCTCTGAGACAGTGTTTCTTGAGCAGCTTTAGGGTCCACACAGGGAATAATATCATCTAACGCTGTATGAACCTTGGGATTTTTCGCCCATTCATCCATAGCAACACAAGTGTCTTCTACCACACTTGAACAACACAGAATATATTAAATGGGTTTTCAATGTGTAGGCGATAGGGATGAACAATAAAACTGTCAAATGAAAACAAATTGAAAATATAACAAAAAAATGAGCATATCATAGGCAGTCTGGTTAACACTTTAAGGTTTAAGGTTCAAATTAAAAAAACGATAAAACATGCCATAACCGACTGAATTAGGCATATGGATATGGTACTCGCCTTGGTTCTCGCTTTACATTTTTCGAAACCAAACTAATGAGCACCTTATCAAAATTGAAGATGATTTACTTATGTAAAAGTAAGTCACCTTATACATAAAAAGATATGAAAATGATGAGCACCATTTAATATACTTTGAAGATGACTTACTTGTGTAGAAGTACAAATACACTGCTCAAGATCAATGTGGCTGCAATGAGAATCCATCCTATGATCACCAAGCTGCAAGAAATAAACTATAGTATACAGTGAAATGTGGTTCTTAAAGTAAATGGATGGAAAGTGGATGTTTTGGATGATACATACATGTAAACAAGAGATTCAGGTCCAGACACAGAAAGAACTACACCACATTTGAAACAAATATATGGTTATATATATAGGTAGCATATGTAACTACAAATTTAGAGCAAAAGGGGCGAGCTTACAGAAACCAAGAGCAGCCAAGAAAAGCATAAGAGCTGCTATAATTATGAGAATCTGCCTCCTGAAAAATGACAGTTTTGTCACAATATACAGTTCATAATAATAATTCAAAAACAGTTAGTTTATGAAAAGAAATATTGTAAAAAATGCTGGGAGCATCCACTAAGAGCAAGACATGCCTAGGAGTGTGGCCTTGTTTAAAATCGGTCAGACCAAAAAAGGAAAAAGTTTACGGCCCTTTGGTAACTCATATTTTCAACTTATCAGTCAACTTTTTTACCAAACACATGTTTTTTGATTTCGCGTGCTGAAATGTGTAATAATCAAACTATGTAAGTTTGGAGTTAGTTTTATGACTGAATCAGTTGAAGATACTATAAGCTATAGAGGATCATTTTAGCTATTCTTCACATAACTTTTTATTTATTTATTTAGATAATAAAGTATTTCCTTCATTCTTTTTAGTTGCAATGTTTCCATTTTCACATTTGTCATTGCACAAGTTTGACCATTAATATATTTCATTCCTCGATGGTAGAAATATTTAAAAATTCATATTTTGAAAATTTAAAGAGAAACAAACTTAACAATATTTTTCAAATATTAAATTTATAATACATTAATAAATGAAATGTAGTCAACATAGATCATTTGAATATTATAGAATTCAACATGTTGCAATTACAAAGAATGGAGGTAGTATATTTTAAATATAATTTTTTTCATATAGAATTCAACATATTCAAACGGTTTAGCCCAAACTTCATCAATTTCAATAGATTCAAAATACTCAACCAATTTTAGTGTTAACAAACTGGCGCTTAGTCTCCCATCAAAAGTCTAGTAGTTTAGCCGTTGCACAACGGACAAATATGAAAAGGGATAATCCACAAAAAAAGTATTACTTCGTATACCTAAGCACATTTATTCAAATATGACAGTCATTGTTCTTTCTTGAAACTAGAACTTATTCACTCATAAATTAGAGCTATTGACCACTATTGTTTTTTTAGGAAAGAATGAATATTATTTTAGGATGAAACAAAGTTGTTCATACTTATGTAAGAGACTCAAATCTTACTCATATTTACACTAATTTATTGTACAAAAATACAAACTAGTGACTCCGATAACTCATTATATGAGGTTGAATTTTTAGAATATCACTTAAGATATTAAGACTAGTGCAAAATTGTGGAATTTCACAATGGAAAGGAGTACTTACACAAGGTCAATAACATGTAGGATATCCTTCTTATTCTTCCTTGTTTCGGTGTCGAGAGTGTTAACAGAAGAATTGATGGTATCGCCGACCTTATCGATGTTCTTTTTAACATCTTCAGGTAGAAATATTTGAGCAACTCCTGTGATTTTGGCCGTATCCAGAACGTCAGACACATTTCTTAATTTACCAGCAGTAGAACCCGCTTGGGAAACAACAAAGTCTAGTGTACCCTTTGTACTATTGTGAAAGTTCTCTAGTCCGGTATAAAGAACCACAGAACCAATGCTGTTTAGAACACAATGAGTTTAAAACAAAACAAAAAAATAGATGGAGTAATGTAGCTAGGGGTAGCTCAAGAAAGAGGCATTACATTGCAGCAATGGTAAATATGGAGAGAAAGAGAAGTGAAAGGATATAAGCACTTGGAGAGTAAGCATTGCTCCTTCTTTTGCAGCAGCAATAGCAAAGCCATATTAATAGTAATGTTAGGCCGAATCCCACAAACCAAACTGCTGCTATGCAGAAAAGGGGAGCACCAGTAAACGCGACCGACTGAGTAAAAAAACAAAAAACAAACTCTCTTTGAATATCAATGTTATGCACCAAACTTCAATTTCAGTTTTGTGGTTCTATACTTCTATAAGCATTATGTGTGAATTCAAAGATGGTACTTTTCAACACTAAAATTTATATTTTATGGGGGGGAGTTGTAAAATGACATTATTATGGGCAGGTCTATAGATGTAGTGTGGTATAAGTCATTTACATATTTGAATGTCTTAATAATTTAAATCTCGATAATTATAATGGGTTACACGCATAAATAATACCTTAATTATTGATATTGTTGCGTTTTGGTACATTAACTCTTAAATGATCAAATAAATATCACATTTATACATAAATGTTTCAACTGACAATATATATGTACACAACAAGAAATGACTCTTCAACCACAATAAAAAATACAAATTCCTTTAAGTTATGGATGAGAACAAACTTATGGATGGAAGTTTAGTCCATATATTATACAATTCTTTCAATTACAATCTCATCAAATTCACCTCATCTAGCCATGATTCAGCCCATTTAATCATTTCAACTCCAAGAGCATATGAAATTACAAGTTAGAAAACAAACATTCGAATTGCAAAAATACACCAAAATAATAGTAGCTAGGTAGAGAAACAAAATAAGTTAAAAGGCCAAAATATCAACACTGTGAACAAGACTAAAGGGAAGTTTACTTTCAACTTAATGGACTTAATGAGAATGAAGACTTAATCGTTCAGCCATTAAGTCATATGTTTAATTACGACTTAATTGGAAATATGACTTAATCATTCAGTCAAAAATCTGATTCAATCATTAAGCTGGAGAATATCAGTTCTTCCCATTAAGACGTCTTTTAAGACGTTTTTCTTTCAATTTTACAAATTGATTGTGGAATAGATTTATATTAATAAATGAATTTTTCATTGACATTATAATCTCTAAGAATAATATTAAATTGATTATTTTACTCAATTCAGATTGTTTATTCAGTTTACAAAATAAACAAACTCATACACATATATCACTTAATCCAAACATACATATTAACTTAGACAGACGTTTTAATTCAAACAGGACTTAAAAAAACGTAAACAACCCTTAAGTCACACCCACATACCACTCTAAAAAAAACCATCAATAGTTTGACCAATACCACATCAACATATCAGAAAATCAAGAATGTCAAAACACTAACGATCATGGAGTATTAAAGTGTAAAAAAATGCAAAATATTGATATTGTTTTTACAAAGAGGCACTTACATATATGTAATGCTCATTGCTGATATTCCACCCACCAGTATAGTACTTGAAACTATTAGACGGGTCTTTTCTGTGCGTTCTATCTGCAGCGAGTATTAAGGATGAACTCCTGCCACTATTGCCCTGCCTTAGAGACCTTCCGTTTCCCCATGAAACTCCACCATTGTATCTCCCCTCAACTACACCTACTCCCATCAAACACCCATTTTCTCAAATAAACCGCCATTACATCATATTGTTGAAAATATGACAGGAAAAGAAATCCTTCACTGCGAAACAAAATGTTAGTAAAAAATGACTTCATAATAAATGATCTGATGACCTTAATTAACACCCACAATAAAAAAAAAATTAGAAATTTTATCAATCCAAGATATGCAAAATAGACGAATTATCGATCCGGGACTTGAAAGATAAAATGTATCGGTATAGGACGCGAGTGATGGAAAACTATCAATCCAGGACCCGAATGACTGAAAACTATCAATATAGGACCTAAGTTTTCATAAATTTTATTATTCTTTTTTATTTAAAAAGAATATTTAGTTTTATTAAATAATAAAATTTTGTGAAGAAAAATTCATCAAACATTAGCAATAGAATTAATAAAAATTAAATAAATCAAAATCTATGAAATCCTAGATCTAGTTTTTCATGTCCCGGATTTATAATTTGTCTATCTTTCAGATCCCAGATTGATAAAATTCCAAAAGATTAAGGTGGACATTCATACATCAATACAAGACACTGATTAAATAAATACATAAAATGCTTGCCTTGAATGGAAGTAGATTCATTGTGATCATTTATAGAAGCTCCACTAAGTGCTGATACAAAGATTGTACATAACATGAAAGAGAGTGTATGGAAAGCTGGTTTGCTTGAGAGCATGGTTGTTTTCTTGAAGATTGAAAACTCCCAATTCTCCTTTACCTGTTCTCTTGAATATATAGAGGGAGGGGGGAGCTTACTGGTCTCTCTTAAGTAAAAAAGAATAGACAGGAATTCTTGCCGTTTCGGTTTTATATGAATGTGTATTAATGTATGTGCTCATATAATGAAGTTTCGTGTCTAGATATGTTTAGTTAGGAGATACTTGGACTTTACTAAACAACAATGTGAACTTTCGGAAAGTAAAGGGTTGGATTGAAGTAAAGGTGCATGCATATTCATTAGTCTTACCCCTTGTGCTTTTTACAGGTCATACTACTACTAAAGTCTACGACAGAAAATTTGTTCATTGCTTTCATGCATATTTACGAAAAGAATTTCAAAAACAACAATAATTGTTATTGTTGTGGTAATATATAATGAAAAAGTGTTTGTGAAAAGAAGTGCACCATATTTCCTTTTGATAAAGTATAGGCGACTAAGGATGTTTTTACTTGGACTGTAATTTGTCCCAGACCAGACCAGACCAGACCAGTTCAGACCAGACCAGACCAGACCAGACCAGACCAGACCAGACTTGGATAGTTATAAAAATACAAAGAAACCAGACCTTATCAGACCAGACCAGACCAAACTAGACCAGACCAAACCAGACCAGACCAGACCAACAAATTACAGTCCAAGTAAAAACATCCTAACATAAAAATATACTACGTAACTTTAGCTAAATAAAATTAAAAATAATGTGATACTCTAAAATTGGAGTCCTATATTCCCTTCAAATAAAGAGTAACTTTTGTTATTCTTGAAAAATACATTCCAATTATGGCATTAATCTTGTGATATTAGTGCACGATAATATGATCGTGCACTAATATCAAAATATGACACATGATTTCAAAATGTCACAACTTTTTCACTTCTAATTCAGGAAATCCCCCTACTGTAAATACTCATTACAAAACTTCATTACATCCTAGACTCTTGTAGTTTGTAGTTTTGTATATTCCTCTAAATAAAAAGTATTTATTTCTAACCAAAAGGCATGAACTTGAGCCGCTTTGGGTTTCAGTGATATTTAACTTGGATCAGTCCCACTTACCGATTCCGAGTGATGTTTTGACTTGTATCTCCAAAAAAGTACTTCGTATTTAAAACTAAGATGGAAATGAATCAGTTCTAATTCATGTTCTTAGTTCCTATTTTCATTAAATAAATAAAAAACATACTGCACTTGCAGAGCCAGAATGTAATGACATTCTCAAATTAAATAAAAAACAATCTTACAATTATATAATAAGAATATAATAAAAGTTGAGGCATAATTGGAATATAGTAAATACGATGTCCTATAACAAATCTATAAACTAGCTAGCACACAACAAGTAATTTTAAAACACCAAAACATTAAATTATAAAATTAACATTGTTCATGAACTAAAAATAGTAGCACTATACGTCCATAAAAAAATCAAAGTTGGCACTACACATTTCTAAGACTCGAAGAGAGAACAAATTAAAGCTTAGCAAATAAAGTTTTCATATGGAAGTAAAATTAAGAAAATTTAATTGAATTATGTCACACTTGTTGAAGTATGAGTCATATATTGTTTAAAAATATAAAATAGAAGAAGATGGATGCACCTATAATACGAAACTAGGGATGCAGGTTTATGAGTTTGTATAGATTTTAGAGCTCTTGCTAATAGAGACTCACAACTCTGATCTGCATTCTACTCACAGATTTCTTAAGTCTAAACTGTTAAAAACCATTTGGTTCCTAAGCTTTTAACTCGCCCTGTGCCATTTTTTTCTAAGGTTAGAATCCAGCCATAACTCATCCTCAGTTTGTATTATTCGCCTCGCTCCACGATTCATGTTATTTGCTCGCTCATACCTAAAATTAGACATGTTAGTCCTCGTCCAATTTTGGTCGAACTAGAATTTCATGTAATCGCTATGATTATATTCTATACCCACAAAGTTCATTTCCAGTTTTGAACATCTTCGCTCTGAAATGAATTGCAAATTGCGGGTTTTAAGGTTGATCGACGAAAAAGCTAGTTAAGTCATCCCTGCGAATAATTAACTCAATTCTAATATTAAAATTCACATATTCAGAAACTATATTGAAAGTTCTATAAAGTCACAAAATCTCTTTTTGAATATAATAAAGAGTTGATATATGCTAAATAAGTAAACAAAGTGAAAATGTGTTTGGAAAAAAAAAGTGCAATTCATTTTGAGGTGGAGGGGACAAATACAGCTCCAATATTGGCTCGTGAGCTAGCTAGATACCTCTATTTTTTATATTTATATCGATTCCTACTGATTAAAACAATACTTGAAATATACTCCGTAATATTTAGCTTTTTGTGTACAAGTGGTGCTATAGTCTTTCGTTTAGTAACATTTCAACCAAAGCTTATTAGCATACCTTCTTTTAATCACAAATTTTACTAATGTATAAAATGATCTGTGAGTATTTTACTTTTTCTTTCAAGTTCATTTTGTAAAGTATTTTATTATTTGTTCCTTTTTTTGTGTAACCCTACCTTATTTTTTTAACTTAATATTCTTAATTCCTATGCTTTTTTCCTTTTCTCCACCATACCCTAATCTTTTTCTTAATTAATCTATGTGAAACATGTACATAAATACTGAGATGCTATTTTAAGATTAATATTGCCGAAATTAATTGACCTACAACCTTTGATTGTAATTCACTCTAGTGATTAGCATTCATTGATTGTAGCTTATTGATTAGCAATCCTTAATTGTATATTTAATTTAATTTTTTTTATTTCTTTTATTAGCTTTCAACCTGGTGTACCTAACCTCTTCGAATTGAGAAGTAAACATCAACCTTTTCCTTCACTTCGTTCTTATATGGTACTCCCTCCTCCTTATTATTTTGTCAACTTTCCTTTTTTGCATATCCCAAAAACTTTGGCACTTTCTCTTTTAATCAATAAATTTGTGGTTTCTGTTATTTCTCTCTCCTATGCACATATTGTAAGGTGTTAGAGACAGTACAACCAAAGCTTTTCTTAATTTATTTTTGGAAACATGTTTCTTAATTTATTTTTGGAAACGCAACCAAGTTGCCTTGGATTTAGGTTTTACTTCTCTATAAATAGAAGCTCTCTCCCTTGTAATCATGTGTGGATCCAAAAATAGCAATAATATTCCTGCCTTGGTAGCGCCCCCAGACGTAGTCATTCGTGGCGAACTGGGTTACCAAATTTTCGTGTGTTCTTCTGATTATTCATCGCGTGCGTGAGTTTAATTCCTAACAAGTGGTATCAAAGCCCTAGGTTCGAAGGGAGATCTCACAATGGCAGATAATTTGAAGACACCGTTGATGCAGTTTGATGGGACTGATTTTGGTTTCTGGAAGTTGCAGATCGAAGATTACCTGTACGGTAAAGATCTGTATCAACCTCTGGATGACAAGCCGGAACACATGAAGGAGAGCGATTGGAAGTTGCTGGATAGGAAGGCGATGAGCGTGGTTCGATTGTCGATGTCCAGAAACATCGCCCTACACACCGTCAAAGCAAAAACGACGAAGGAGATAGATGTTGCAGATATTATCGGATATGTACGAGAAACCGTCTGCTGCGAACAAGGTTTACCTGATGATGAGGCGTCTTTTTAACCTAAAGATGTCAGAAAGTACGAGAGTTGTGGAGCATCTCAATGAGTTCAATTTAATCACCACACAATTGAGCGCGGTTGAGATCAAATTCGACGACGAGATTCACGCCCTAATTATGTTGTATTCTCTACCAGAAAGCTGGAACGGAACGGTGACTGCAGTCAGTGCTTCAGCAGGGATTGAAATTCGATGAAGTCAGAAATTTGGTGGTGAGCGAAGAAATTCGCAGGAAGGAATCGGGCTTGACTTCTGGATCGACATTGAGTACAGAGAACCGGGACAGAACGAAGTCGAAGTCCAAATCAAATCGAGATAGATCAAGATCGAAATCCAAGTCAAACAGCAAGGGTAAGAAGGACAGAAGTCAGATCAAGTGTTGGAACTGTGCGGAGTATGGACACTTAATTCAAGAGCCAGTGCAAGGAGCAGATCAAGGATCAGAAGGAGAAGACATCCACATATGCAGCGGAAGAATCATCTGGTGATGATCTCCTGATCCTGAGCGTGAGCAGTCCATTGGAGTCATGGGTTTTGAAGCTTCGTTCCATTCATGTGGTAATGTTGAAGTGATGGAACAGTATACTCCCGACAATTTTGGAGAGGTGTATCTTGCTGATGATGAGCCTCTTAAAATTTTCAGAAAGGGTACAGTCCCCGTGAAGATTCCGAACGGATGCATGCTGAAACTGAATGGAGTCCGACACATTCTTGGTTTGAGGAGAAATCTTCTTTCAATTGGGCAGCTGGATGAGGAAGGCTATGCAGTTACATTCGGCAGCAGAAATTGGAAGATCATCAAGGGAGCCTTGCTGGTTGCTAAAGGAAAGAAGGAGGGAATGTTGTACATGACAACGAACTCTAAGGGTTGTATTGATGTTGCTGCCGCTGCAGCAAACGATGTCAATTTGTGGCACTATCGTCTCGGTCACATGAGTGAAAAGGGGATGAAGGAGCTCGAAGAGCAAACTGCCCGGCCTGAAGACTGTTGAGGTTGGCTTATGCGAGGACTCCATATTCGGGAAATAGAAACGTGTCAGTTTCTCGAAGGGTAGACGAGCTATTAAACCAGAGAAGCTGGAACTAGTTCACACCGACCTTTGGGGATCTGCCTACTACATAACCTTTATTGATGATGCCACAAGAAAGGTGTGGGTTCATTTTCTCAAAATAAATCTGATGCCTTTGATGCTTTCAGGAAGTGGAAAGCTCTTGTTGAGACAGAGACAGGTCTGAAATTGAGGTGTCTTCGGTCTGACAATGGAGGTGAGTATGAACTGCATGAGTTCAAGAAGTTTTGTGCTGAGAATGAGGTTCGTATGGAGAAGACAACTAAAGGGACTCCGCAGCATAATGGTGTTGTTGAACGCATGAACAGAACACTGAATGAGCGGGCTAGATGCATGAGGTTGAAGAGTGGCTTACCGAAGATGTTTTGGGCGGATGCAGTGAACACCGCGGTTTTTCTCATCAACAAAAGTCCAAC